CCCTCTGGTTCGATTACAACTATCACCACTGCTGACATCGAAACGCTTGCAATTAGCGGCTGTCAACCCTCCTCCACTTGCCGGCGCAGTATTGCCTCTGTACACGTACATCTCCCTTTCCCGCTAGTGTTTCAGACCAGTGGCAGCCCACAGGAACTGCCTCCTGATATCCTATAAAAGAAAGTCTCCGCCTTTCCCACTAACGCATACACTTTCCTTCAAGATTGGTCTTGCCCTGAGAGCCATTGTTGTCGAAAGTGTGTTCTTGCCTTGCGTAGAATCAAACATTTTGACCGACTCTCTTCGTTCTTGACTTTGTGCATCCATTGATGATATTGGTACATTGTTTATGCTTTACTATTTTGCTTAATAGTACCGTACTGCCTTGATAGTTTTTATCATTGATTTTGACGTACGCGTGGCTGCTGGATACAGTTGGAAAAGTCGAGAAGACGAAGACACTATCCTTCTACAGAATAGACGCTCCCTACCACTGTTGTCTTCCCATGACTTCTCTCTTCTCCTAAGGAATCAGGCCTAGACAATCGCAGCCGGTAGGGGTGTAGGATACGAAATAATCCGTCCGGGTAATAGGCGATAAAACGTATCCCAACGGTTATAATCTAGTACATAACATAAGGTTAACACAACCTCTACACATTTAATCAAGGTAAGTGCATTTGCGAAACCCAGACGCAATGATTGGTTTTGTTAACCTGTCATCGTCATCTGTACAGCAAATGTTCCGCAGTGGGTGTAGCAGTATTGTTAACTTGCTGGAGCAACAATAACAATGAATACTCTCAGTGGGATGGCTAGGTCATTCTAAACGTTATGAGTTGTCGTACATGGACACTTGGCCGAAATGAACGAACCGCAAAACGGCGTTCGGCACAGGCAGTGCATGGTTAACCAGTCAAATGCGAAAGAGCTTGCAACTAGACAAGGTCGTGCGCAGCCAATGGCTACGACTGAACCAACCGGCGATCGCACAAGCTCCCATACGCGGACTAGGTGTGTGCCACACATACGCGTTTTGTCCTACGCCTTCGGCACTCCATTTGTGAACTGCACTGCTCGTTGACGGAAAGATGGAGATGCGTCGTCTCACTGCCACGCTCTTGGGCATCGCCGTTGCGGCAATTATCCTCGCTTTGGCCATTCCGCACTGGGGCTGCGGCAACCTCCTGGAAGGTTGTGCCCGAGGCTATGACCGTGACGCCATGATTGCAGTTGCCGCCCTTCTCATAATCGGTCTGGCCTGCCTGATTGTCGTCTTTATCATCGACCTCGTCTTGATCTGCTCCAGCGTGGTGCCAGCCGGTCTCATCA